TCCCAACCACGCAGCTCTTCTGTGCAGATGGCGAATACAACTCCATGGCCGCAGCCTTCTTCAACACCCCAGAGAAGAGTGTGGTGAGCCTCTTCCACGACCCGCCAGGTGTGTGTGCTCAGCGGCTGCACTGTGGACACGTGGACGGAGTCACTGGGCTGCAGGGGCCGTGGGTTCATTGACCTGAGCCTGTGGGGATCCACCCTCCTCAGGCACCGGGACAGGCTGTGCGTGTCGCCGGGTCTGTAGGGAATCTGGGAGAGCCAGGAGACTGCCTGCAGAGCCAGGCTTGTCCCTGGGCCCAGGAAGACCCTCATCCTCGACCCCCTGGGTGGTCCACAGAGCAGCCTCCGAGTCCCTGCACCCCTGCCTTTTCCACAGCGGCTCTGGGTGCGGGGGTGGCAGCTTGCGTCCCTGTGAGCCCAGCAGCCACTGTCCCCGCAGGCTCCTACAACCCCGTGACCCTCGGCCTCTTCACCCTGGTCTACTTCTTCCTGGCCTGCTGGACGTACGGGCTCACGGTCTCCGCCGGCGTCTTCATCCCGTCCTTGCTCATCGGGGCTGCCTGGGGCCGGCTCTTCGGCATCTGCCTGTCCTACCTTACCGGAGCTGCGGTGGGTCGCCTGGGCCGGTGGGCACGCAGTCCACTGCTCTGCGCGGCAGGAGCACCACTCCCCATCCTTCCTCTTTCCCTGCGTTCCCGTTATATATAAAGTCAGAGAGAGACGGAGATGTCCCTTGCAGCTTCACTTGGACGCATGGCGAGGCAGGGCCAGAGTCAGGACTGCCTGGGTCACCCCGGCAGACACAGGGGCCCAAGCACCCGGGGCATCCTCCACTGCTTTCCCAGGTCAGAGATGGAGTGGCCAGAGCGTGGGCCAGCGCGTAGGTGCTGCTGGTGTGCAGGACAAGGCTTCGCTGTGCTGCAGCGCGGCCCCTTGTAATGTTTGAGATGGGGCATTTCCCATTTAGGTCATTGTCACCCTAAGAATGGGAAACAGTGGGAAGCCGGAGCTTGCAGAGCTGGTGGCAAGGGGGTCCCTCCAGCCCCCGCAGGGCTGAGGTGCTTTTGTGAGTTCCTTTCTCACCTCATTACTCAGCTGAGAACAGAAACCACGAGAGGGGCCCCAGCCAGAAGCTTGCCCCAGACCAAGCCCCTCAGGCTCCTCCAAGACACCACTGCCCTGAGCTGTGGGCTGCCCTGAGCTGTGGCTGCCCTGAGCTGTGGGCTGCCCTGAGCTGTCCTGAGCTGTGGGCTGTCCTGAGCTGTGGGCTGCCCTGAGCTGTGGCTGCCCTGAGCTGTGGCTGCCCTGAGCTGTGGGCTGCCCTGAGCTGTGGGCTGCCCTGAGCTGTGGGCTGCCCTGAGCTGTGGGCTGCCCTGAGCTGTGGGCTGCATTCTGGCTTTAGCCTGAACAGCTCAGCACATTGAGCACAGTCACAGCACTGCCATCCAGAATGCTCCGGAACATTCTCACCAACCGCAGAGCATACCTGTACCAGTTAGCCCCAACCCTCAGCGCACTCACACACACACAGCCCCCCTCTGCCTCTGGACTCTCACCCTGTCCAGTCCATGCGTCACATGGTGCAATGACGTGTCCTGTCCTTCCTATGGGCGTGGACTCACACTCCTCCTGTGGCCCAGCACCAAGTCCGCCTGGTGACGGCACCTGCTTCCCACGTGGGCACCAGCCCTGCTCCTCCAAGCAGAGCCCAGCTCACCAGCGGGGCACAGCAAGCTTGTTTCTGGAACCTGGCATGGCAGATGGTGCTGAGGGGTACTTCAAGCTTGAGCTGGAGGCGGCACTGCTCTGGGGTTGGGTGTGAGCTGCCACATCCACACCTAAGCGCTTCCCTTGTCACCTTCAGATCTGGGCCGACCCTGGCAAGTATGCGCTCATGGGTGCTGCCGCCCAGCTTGGTGAGTGCCAGCTTGGGCTGGCCTGGGGGGCTCGTGCTGGCGGGGGTGGGTGGGCGCTCGGCCCCAGGGCCCCTGCACAGGGCCAGTGCAGGCCCAGGCCCACACGGCCGTCCCGCCACCCCACAGGTGGCATCGTGAGGATGACACTCAGTCTGACTGTGATCATGATGGAGGCCACGAGCAACGTGACCTACGGCTTCCCCATCATGCTGGTGCTCATGACTGCCAAGATCGTGGGCGATGTCTTCATCGAGGTGCGTGGGCCTGGTGCCAGGGCGGGCGGGACTGCAGGCCCCAGCGGCCGCCCGGCGGCTTGTGGCAGCCCGCGTCCTGTCATACAGGGCCTGTACGACATGCACATCCAGCTGCAGAGTGTGCCCTTCCTGCACTGGGAGGCCCCCGTCACCTCGCACTCACTCACTGCCAGGTAGGCCAGCTGTCCTGCCTGCCTCACTGCCTGCCCTGGCCCCCATCCCTGCCCGTGGCTCGGGGCTGTGGTCATCGGGTTTCCTCAGCTGGCAGCTTCCTGCCTGAGGGGGCTGAGGCCGTGGGCATCTCTGGCAGAGAGGTCATGAGCACCCCAGTGACCTGTCTGAGGCGGAGAGAGAAGGTGGGCGTAATTGTGGACATCCTCAGCGACACGACATCGAATCACAATGGCTTCCCTGTGGTGGACGCTGACGACACCCAGGTAGAGTGTTCCACCCACCTGCCAGGAAGGGCCCAGGGGCTCCCTGTGGGGTCCCGGCCGAGCCTGTCCAGGGCTGCCGTGCTGGGGCTCAGTCGTCAGCGTGTCCGGCCCTGCCCCTGGTGCTGGTCCAGGTCAGTCAGGGGCACAGGTGGCTGCTGTCTGCTGGACACATGCGCTGGCTCTTGGGTCCTCTTCGTGCTCTGTGCAGCGAGGGACCCACCCCCATCCCAGGTCCTTAGCCACAAAGGCTCGCAGCGAGGCCGCCAAGCGGGTGCCGGCACTGACCTGCCTCTCTTGCAGCCTGCCCAGCTCCAGGGCCTGATCCTGCGCTCACAGCTCATCGTCCTCCTGAAACACAAGGTGGGTGGGCTGCCCAGGCAGGTGGGCGGGCGGGAGGTGCCAAGCCCTGGGGGTCTGACGTAACCGCTGCCCACAGGTGTTCGTGGAGAGGTGCGGTGTGGGGCTGGCTCCACGGCGGCTGCGGCTCAAGGACTTCCGCGACGCCTACCCCCGCTTCCCCCCGATCCAGTCCATCCACGTGTCACAGGACGAGCGTGAATGCACTATGGACCTCTCTGAGTTCATGAACCCCTCGCCCTACACCGTGCCCCAGGTACACCTCCCACACAACAGATGCGGGGGGCTGCGGGGGTGGAACTGCCTGGCTGGTGACCAGTGTGCCTGAACCCCTCCCTGCTACTGCCTTGCAGGAGGCATCGCTGCCCCGGGTATTCAAGCTGTTCCGGGCCCTGGGCCTGCGGCATCTAGTGGTCGTGGACAACCGCAACCAGGTGAGCCAGACCAGTGCTCAGTAGGGCTGGAAACCCTTTCGCTGGCTGGATGCTATGCACCCCAGTGCAGGCAGGGGTCCCGGCTGCACATTGACCCCATGTGTTACTCCCACAGGTGGTTGGGTTGGTAACCCGCAAGGACCTGGCCAGGTACCGCCTGGGGAAGGGGGGCCTGGAGGAGCTCTCTCTGGCCCAAACATGAGGCCCTGGCTCTGCCCACAGTGGCACCAGCACCCCCGGTCCCTTGTGCCTCCTCCTGAGGTCCCTGGCTCCTGGGTCAAAGCCTCCTTGCTCCCAGTGTGGCAAGTGCTGTGAGCGCCGCCGCCCTGTGCCTCGGACTTGGTCCTTCGTTCCAAATCTTCAGGGATCGCTGTGACAGTTCCCCAAGAGCCAGTGGGGGGCGCTACTATGTCAGTCACCTCTGTGCCCGAGCCCTTGGGAGCTGACGGCCTCCGGGGACCCCCGTCTGCACTCTGGGCTGGGGTCCCTCATCCAGCACAGCACCGCCATTTGAGCTTCGGAACCTGTGGACACCGGTGTCACCCAGCAGCCCTAGCCAGGGACCCTGGCCCAACCCCGCGTCTGGGTAGATTGGGGCGAGGCCTGCAGGGTCCCCCTTCCTGCCCATTCTGCCACAAGGGGGTGCAGATGCCCTCCCTGGGAGCCACACTGACACTGCCACCTCCTTCCCCTGCTCCTACAATGTGGGACTCGCTCACCCACGTGGTGACAACGGGTCCTGTGTAGACACAACTGGCCGTGTGGAAGGGGCTGACAGAAGACGCTGTGTCCTTGCCTGTTCCCCACCTCCCAGGAAGCCCTCGGCCCGCGCAGCCCCCTCCGTCCCCCCAGCCTCCCCACCCTCAGCCTCACCCACTGGACTCTTCTGCTGGCCTGCTGGGTCTTCTGGGTGATGGGGCAGCAAGGTGCCCAGGGGAGCCTGGGACAGGCCAGGGGGGGACGTGTCCAGCCTGGACAGAGCTGGTGTGAGCACCCCATGGGGCCTCGCAGATTCAGTACCAAAACAGCACGTGCAATCTGACATTCATTCATTTTGTACAGATGGCGTGTTGCCGTGGCAACATTTTGGATATATCAGGTTAAATAAAGCAGACTGCAGATTCTCCCGCTTTGCTTCCTTGTCGCCGTACGGCCACTTCCCCCAGAGGCTCAGTCAGCGCTCCTTTGGCCCTTGGGGCTCCTGCTTGCTGGCTGCAGGACCTGGCCGACCGAGGCCCCTCTGGCCCCGCCCTCCCAGCCTTAGGGCTGCGGCCCCAGTGGCAGTTGGGCCGTGAAGTCATCGAGTTCTGCCGAAGAAAGGCTCTGGAGCAGCCCTGCTGCCGACAGCTGCGCCGGCCTTCCCAGGGAATTCTGTAAGGGGAGATGTGAGGACAGAGCCCACCCCTTCACCAAGCCCACTCCCAAGACCGGGAACGTGGCCACCCTCTTCCCCTACCTCTCCCATAGCCCCAACACCCAGCCGCGGGCCACCACAGGGGTTGGGCAGCTGGTGACGGACGCCATGTCAGGTAAGCCAGGAGCCCCATCCCATCCCTGGCCACAGCCGAGGTCAGTCGGAGAGAGGAGCCCCATGGGGCTTTTGTGCTTGGGCTCCTGCCAGGGCTGACCTAGTGAGGGTGGCGTTTGGGCTCTCCCCCCGGTGGTGTGTCCTCAGGCCCTGGGGCGACCTTGGTCTTGGTGAAGGCCCCGCAGGAGCCAGGCCCAGGATGAGCTGCCCAGTTCCTCCTCATAGGGCTGGCAGACAGCCCCTCGTCCGAAGCGTCGCCCCTCTCTCAGATGAGCAGCCCCACTGTGGAAGACCTGGACCTCCTCCTGGCCAGCCCCCAGCCCTTGAGCCCAGGGGACATCTCGGAGCAGTGTGGCTCAAGCCACCTGCTTGTGTCCAACTCCTTGGGGCCTGAGCAGGGCACTGCCAAGTGCTGGCTTCAGCTGGAGCAGCGGTGAGCCCCAGGGGTACAGGGCAAGGGCACAGGAGGGTCACAGCAGCCCTGGAGCTGGCGCGATGCGACTGGGCACTGTGACCCCTGGCTAGGGTGGCCGCCTTACAGGCCGAGGTGGCATACCTGCGGGACCACAAGGAGCGCTGTGAGCATGCCACACTGAGCCTGCTGCGGGAGCTGCTGCAGGTGCGGGGCCGCCTACAGCTGCAGGACTCCGAGCTGAAGCGGTTGCAGCTGTTGATCCAGGCCCCTGAGAAGGAAATGCTGGAGGTGGGTGAGCTGCCAGGCAGGGCTGCTGTACCCCAGCCTGCTGGACGACCCGCTCAGCCTCACACCCTCCCGGCAGCTCCACGGTCCCCAGAACCAGATGCAGACCCTGGATAAGAGGTACCTCTCGCTTCTGCACACCAGCCTGGGGAGCCTTCCGGAGGCCTGGGTGGGGTGGCTGAGGTAGCCCTGTGAGGGCCTGTGCAGCAACAGCCCCCTGTGTGCCAGGCTGGTGGAGGTCCGGGAAGCTCTGACTCAGGTCAGGAGGAGGCAGGCACTGCAGGACACGGAGCGGAAGGGTGCCGAGCAGGAGGCCCGGGGCAGGTGGGCTCAACCCCCTGCTGCCCAGCCCGAGGTTGCCAGGGCCTCTCTGGTGGATAGACACTAAAGCTTGGCCCTGCCCTCCTTCCCTCCCTCCGCTCCCCCCGCTCCCCTCCCTGCCTCTGACCCCACCTCCCGCTGGGGGCTCCCCACCTTCCATTACATCCCAGGCATCTGGTCAGTCCTCACCTTCTGGCCTCCAGGTCAGCCTAGGTTTCCCAGGGCAGGTCCCCTGTCTGCAGCCTTCCAGCAGCTGGCCCAGTGCTACTGTGCCCGTGTCCTAGGCTGGCCAAGCTGACTACTCTGCTGAGGCAGGAGGAGCAGGCTCGGGAGGCAGCCTGTACCAGTCTGCACAGGAGCCAGGAAGACATCGGCCAGAGGGTGGACGAGCAGGCGGCCAGGATACAGGTGCCACACGGTGGGGCCTTCCCCCAGGCATCCCCTGCCCTCGCCCTCTGCTCTGGCTCTGGGGTTTGCGCTGTCCAGCATGGCCACCTAGACCTCAAGCCTGGCTCCTTACGCCCAGCTACAGGCAGATCTCGACAGCCACAGGTGGCCAGTGATGCCAACTTGGCTTTCTTTGATCACAGATGGCAGCCGGGCAGTGCTGGGTCAGCCACCACTGCTGCCTGTGTCCTCACAGCCACAGGGCCTGGGTCCCCCCACCATCAGTTTCGGGCTCCGGGACCCCAGGATCCCTTCATCGAGTGGCATTTTGAGGGGTGTGTGACCATCAGCTAGGGTGGGGGCACCAGGACACGGAAGCCTGCAGGCTCCCTGCGGCCTGGAGTGGGCCCTACCAGCAGAGGTGTCCAGCTGGGGGCTCCACCCATCCCACCCCTTGGGTGCTCCCCTGCCTGAGCAGGCCAGAGGGCTCGCTGCAGCCAACCACAGCCCACCAGTTTTTGTGAATCAAGGTTGCTGGTGGCTGCTCTGGACTAGCAGAAGAAGGAGGCTGTGCCGTGCCCCTGGGAGCCTCGGGGTTGGCTGCCTGGCTCCCAACCTCTGCTCCAGGGGATCCTGCCCCGTTGTGACCCATGCCAGCCCTGAGCTCTGGATGTGGGAAGATGCCTGGCCCCTTGGCATTGGGCACAGAGGGAAGTGTGCAGCGCCCTGACCCAACCCTGCACACCTGTGTTCCCGTGAGCACCTGCTTCTCCTTACACAGCCTTACCCGGCTGCACCCCAGGGGTGGCATGGGCCCCCAGGGGGCTGGGGCACTGTAGCCCCTTCTTGCTCAGAATATGGCCAGCCTGGTTCTGTGGGGCGTGAAGCCAACAGGGCCAGTTGCCCTGGAGCCCACTGGGACATAAAAGAGTACGCAGGCGAAGCCTGGCACCAGCAGCAAGGTTGAGCACCAGTGTGGTGCGCGTCGTCAGGCGCAGGTGACCAAGCTCGGTGAGGAGATGAGTCTGCGGTTCCTCAAGAGGGAAGCCAAGCTCTGCGGCTTCCTGCAGCGGAACTTCCAGGCCTTGGAGCAGGTGGGGCCCTGTGGCTGGCGGCTCAGTCCGCTGCGCGCCCCGCGCTCAGGCAAGCAGGCGGCTCAGTCCGCTGCGCCCCGCGCTCAGGCAAGCAGGCGGCTCAGCTCGCTGCCATGCCCCGCGCTCACACAGCCGGGGGTCGCTCTCCGCAGAGGGTGAAGGCGTCCGAGAGCGCGCGGCTGAAGGCCGAGGACAGCCTGCGCGAGGAGCTGGACGGCCGCTGGCAGAAGCTGCAGGAGCTGAACGAGGAGCGCGCGCAGGCACAGCGCGAGGTGGACGCTGGGACCGCCCTGCGCGGGAGGGGTCTGGGGCCACACAGGCGCATGGAACCCCTGTGTGCGAGTGGCGCACAGGCAGGCTGGGTGCCCAGGCGGACCCTGGGGCTCAGGGCCGCCTCGCTGCAGCAGGAAGGGGGCCGCCTGCTGGCACAGTGCCGGGGCCTGGATACCGCCGTGGTCCAGCTCACCAAGTTTGTGCGGCAGAACCAGGTGTCCCTGAACCGCGTCCTCCTGGCAGAACAGAAAGCCCGGTGGGTGCTCCTGGGCCACGGGGGCGTTCGCAGGGTGCCGCTAGGGAAGCACCTCCCTCCCTGGCACTGAGGTGTTGGCTCGCCACCCCAGGGACACCAAGGCGTGTGCAGAAGAGAGCCAAGCTGGGGAGTTGGCCTCCTATGTGAAGGAGGGCTTGCAGGCTGTGCGACTGGCTGGGGAGCGTGCGCAGCAGGAGACTCAGAGTGCACTAGAGCTGGTGAGGGTGCCGGCCGGGACCACCGCACCACCACTCTCACGACGGTGGCACCTGACTAAGCATTCCTGCCTGTCTTTATTTCTGTCAGCTCCGTGTGAAGAGCCAGGCCCTGGAGCAGGCTACAGCCGACCTGGGACTGCAGGTCAAGGACCTGAGTGACCACTGCCTGGCCCTGGGCTGGCGGCTGGAGCTGCAGGAGCAGACCCTGGGCCTGAGGCTGGCGGCGGTGAGCCCTGGGCAGGTGTGGAGGAAGGAGGCAGGTGGTCGGGGCAGCTCTAGTCTCTGGCCAGCAACTTTATTGAGCCATCCTTGGCATAGCACACGGCTTGTCCCCAAGCACCACCCCGGGCAACCCACCTCCTGTCCTTCATGTATCAGCCCCACCCAGGCCTGCTGTGGTCCAGTTTTCTTGCTGTCTGGCTGCAGGGTAGCCGGTCTGGGCCTGGCCCTGCCCTCTGGCCCTGCTGGGCCAGGCTGTAGCCCTCACAGCGTCTGTGTTCCAGGTACAGACAGAATGGGAGGGGGCAGGACGGAAGTCCCTGCAGGACCTGGCCGTGTGGCAACAGCAGGTCGCCGGGCAGCTGCAGGAGCTGCGGGAGAAGTTGGATGGCTTCCCGCTGCAGGTGGGTGAGGGTGAAGCCGCAGCCCCACCCCAGTGCCCGCGCCCCGCTGGGCTCTGGCCGGCTGCGCCTGCATGGCCGTGGACCCCGCGTTTCAGATTGAGGATATTTCAGACAAGTGCTGCCTGCACAAGAATGACTCGGACTTGAAGATCTCAGCGGAAGTCAGGGCCAGGTGAGGGCCCGGGACAGGCGGGCAGGAGCTCGGTCCACCACTGTGGGCCAAGCTGCTCTAGCTGCTGCCTCCTCCTCGGCCCTCAGAGAGCTGGAGGTGGGGGCTATGCGGCAGGAGCTGGCCACCCTGCTGTCATCCATGCAGCTGCTGAAGGAGGACAACCCAGGCCGCAAGATTGCCGAGATCCAGGGCAAGCTGGCCACGGTACTGCCCACACCCAGCCCGGGGAGCCCCCAGCAGCCCCTGGAGTCTGGTCCAGGCTGAGTTGTTGGCTGTGCTCAGTTCCAAAGCCAGATAATAAGGCTGGGAGACAGTGTCCAGGCCCATAAGACCTTGCAGAACCTCAAGTTCAACGCAGAGACCAAGCTGGTGAGAGGGTGGAGCTGGGTGGGCCCCCAGATCTCCAGAGCGGGCCCCCAGGTCCCCCCACTCCTGTGCTGTGCCTCACCGCCTGCGGTCACAGCCTCCCCTGGCTCCCCCGGCCCGGCAGCGCACAGAGGAGATGAGTGCACTGCGGGAGAGCGTGCTGCGCCTGTGGAGCGAGGAGGGCCCCTGGGCGCTGACACTGGGCAGCAGGCGGCTGCTCATGTCCCTGGTGAGGCAGCGGTTCTTCATCAAGGACCTGGATCCCAGTGAACCGGCCCCTGTGAACCAGTGGGGCGTGTACCAGGCCGTGAGGTGGGTGCAGGTGCTGGCAGTAGGAGCTGGCGCCAGGGAGAGGGCAGGGGTCGTGCGAGTGCCTCGGCCGTGTCTCCTGGCAGGTGGCTGCAGTGGAAGTCTGTCCTCGTGAAGCAAGTGCCCCAGCGGAGGCCAGCAAGAGGCAGCTCCGAGGAAGGTGGCAGCCGGGAGCCTGTGGCCCTGCCCACCCGCTTGCCCCAGTCCCAGAAATAAATGCTAGCTCTTAGCTCCTACACTGTTGCATCCAGAGCCCCCAGCAGCCCGGAGACGTGGCCCTCCTGGGGGTGGCATGGCTGACATGCAGTGGAGGAGCCTGTCAGAGGCAGCAGCCAGCACCAGGGTGCCCCAGTCCCAGGAGCCCCCCTTCCTGTTCTGTCCAAGCCCAGCCCTGCCCTGAAATGAACCTCCTCCATGCCCCAACCAAGACCATGTGCAGGGTCCCAGGAGGGCGTGTGCAGGAGCCCGGGCTGCTTCTGGGAGAGAGTCAGCTGGTCTTCGCCGCCTGGGTGGGTCAGGGACATGGCCTTGCTGCTGACCTGGCCTCCCTGGGGCCTGGTGTGTCAGTCACTGAGAACAACAAGGGCTCTGCCAGGAGCAGCCCGGTCTGGGGACCATGTCCCCGGCCCCACCCTTTACTGGCAGCTCCCTCCCAGCCGGCTCCACCTTGGTCTTCTTCGGAGGGCCTGGGGGAAGGCCTGTGTGCCTTCTTGCTAGGCCTCTGTCAGCTGAGCCCCCTCCAGGGCTTGGGCGCCCGTCAGCTCGGGGCCGGCCTCTGCTGACCAGCTGGCCAACAGGTCACTGAAGTCCGGGGTGCCGGGGTGCAGCAGGCCCAGGGCGCTGGGTGCTGGCTCCCTCCAGAAGGATGGGGGCAGCTTCCTCTGGGTCATGGGGGTGATGTGGCCGTACTTGCGCTCCAGCCTCAGCCTGCGGCCCACAGCCGCTGCGCCTGCCAACGAGAACCGGCGCAGCCCAAAGTCAAAGAGCTCAGCCAGCGGCCCCAGCGCCGCCCCACCCAGCGGTCCCTCCGGCTGCCCGGGCCCAGGGGCCCCCTCGAGCTCTGCCCGGTCCAGCTCCCCGCACATGTCTGGGTCCTGCCCCTCCTCCTTGCGGCCAAAGTACCGCTGGATGTCACCGCTGATGAGCTCGGAGAAGCGCAGCAGTCGTAGTGGCGTCTCGGGGCTGCCAGGGCCCTGCAGGGGAACCTGGGGGCCAGGACCACTCCCTGTCCACCCTCCATCCTGCTGCTCCTCTTCCTCGCCCTCCTCTTCCTCGCCTTCCTCCTCTTCTTCCTCAGAAGTCTCTGGGAGCTCCAGGTCAGGGGGCAGGAAGGGCTGGTGGGCCAACAGGGGCAGCCTGAAGTCACCCAGGGGCCGGATCACGCCGGCAGCCATCTCCTCCCGCTGTCCTGTGGGCAGCAGGCGCTGGCAGGGGAGAGATAGAGGTGGGTGGGAGTTCCAGTCCTGTCCCCTCCCCCCACCCCCAGGGACAGGCGGGGCCTGGGTGTGGAGAGGACACTCCGATAGACATAGGGTGCCCACATGCTGAGACACGGTGGCTGGTGCCTACTGCTTGGAGTGCGATGGTTGGTGGGCTCAGGGAGGAGCGAGAGAGCCTGCAGGCGACCAGGGGGCGTTCGTAGGGGCCCTACTGGGCTGGGGCTGCTGCTGTGACTTCCTGGCTCTGGGCCTGGGGCTGGGACAAGATCCATGGCAAGCTGGCCACGGTACTGCCCTTTCCCAGCCTGGGGAGCCTCTGCCAGCCCTAGTGACAGCAGGGGCCTGTCCCCCCGCCCTGCTCCAGCCTTGGTCACATCCGACACAGGAGGGCAGTTGGACAATGGAGGATGCTGAGTGAGTGGCCGCAGCCTTGGTCCCGCCCACACGGTGTCCAGCAGGATTCTATTGACCTGCACCCACTGGGGGAGGCCCTGGGAAAGCAGACAGGCGGGGGGAGCAGCTGAGGGAGTTCCTCATGCAGGAAGAAGGGCAGTGTGCACCGGGGCCCCGGGGGCTGCAAGGCAAGGGGGTGGAGACCCAGCCCTCCCTGGCCATCCCCAGTGGCCCCCCGCTCCTACCTGCCCGGGCTGCTGCTCTCCCAGTACTGCCTGCACCTGGGCTCAAGCATTTATAGGCAGGCCCTGCAGCCGCCCGGGCTAGCAAATATTTGGCGACGGCATTGTCATCGCAGACTGGACAAATAGAGCCCGTTTGCTTTAGCGCCTGGCAACCAGGCCCTGGTCCCACCTGTAGGCAGCCTGCCCAGGGACCCTGGAGTGTTTGCCCCGGTCCAGCTGGCTGCACCCGGGCCCTTATCTCCACTGTCGGCTGGGGCCTGCGTCCAGCCCGTCAAATAGGCGGAAAATTAAATTTCATGCTATTTTGAGTTCTGGAGTAGCCACTCTCAAGAGAGCCTGCCCCTCTAGCTCCCTGGGTAAACGGTACTCCTGAGGGTGGGGGTGGAGCAGGGGGGAAGCCCCAGGGACCACCAGCAAGGCAGGAGAAGGCTGGGATCACCCTCAGCCTGGGCATTGTGGCCGTCAGTGCCACCTGGTCCCCTGCTGAGCCCGGCTGAGAGCTGCCTCCTGAGTGGGGGTCGGGACCCCACTTGGTGGCCCCGCCGCCTGCCCTGAGGCTCCTGGGTGACTGGAATGGCCACAGCCACGAACAGCAAGACTGAGAATTGGGGACGGAGTGGGGTGGGGGATGCCACGCACAAGTCGAGGTGTCCCAAGGGCTGGTGCCTTTTGGGGGTTCCCTCCCAATCTTCCCTGTTTGTTCCCACAAGAGTCTCCAGGACGTCTTGTAGCTGAGATGACCTAATCCATCGTGACCTGGGCTCAGCTGGTTGTAGCTGCCCAGCCCCACATTCAGATAAGGACACCTTCTGAGGTTCCAGGTAGATATGCATGCCTGGGGTCACACGTACCCTGTCCCCTCCCTCGCCACTCACCGTTTTGCTGCCTAGAGCAGCCCCCGTAACACAGGTTGAGTGCGCCCAACTGAGTGGCCCCTCACAGCCTGCCCTGGGTCCCTACCCTGAGCCTGCAGGCAGCAGCCTTTCCTAGGGTGGTCTGGCTCCTCTCAGCCAGCAACTCCCCTGCACACAGCATTTAGACACAGCTCCCAGCCCTTCCCCCACAGTGGGGTCTCCAGAGGCGCTGCCCCTGCCACAGCCACTGTCACCTCTCTGCTTGACGCCTGGCCCCTGCCGCCCTCCTCTTAGTCCCCCAGCAGCAAGGAGAGAGCTGTGTCCAAGGGTAGGGAAGGGTCCTGGGTACCTCAGGTCCGGGGGACCACAGCCGGGAGATGCTGGCCCCAGAGCCTTAACTAGCCTCAAGACCATGCCCAGGGACTGGAGGCCCACAGGAGACAGACACTGGTGCCTGCTGCCCTAAGGTCCTGGCCCCAGACGGCCAGACACTGCGGCTTTCCTCAGCTTGATTAAGGACCGACAAGGGGACCCTGAGCTGGGGGAGGGCGAAGGGAGCAGTGTGTGTTGGGGAGAGGGGCTTGGGCCCTGTGGGAACAGAGGCACAGCAGAAGGTGCATCTCCTGTTTAGGATGTACCAGGGCTCAGGCTGCTGTGGCTGAGCCCAGCTTCAGCCTCCAGCCCCGCCCCCACCCCTCAGAGGGTCCCTGCCAACACCCCCCTGGCTGCTCCACCCTGCCGCACACCAGCCAGCCTCCATGCACTTTGCATTGATCTGCCCTGGGAAAAACCAATAACTCCAACATGTCAGCTCTCGAGTGGCACTGCTGTAAACGTTGGCATTTGGCACACACGGGTGCAGCCGGTGCCACCCTCTTAGTGGGGCATCTCCGCTCCCGTCAAGTTTCTCTGTGAGCCTTCAGATGTGCTCCCGGCTGGGAGGAGGGAGGCGCAGCCAGACAGGTGCAGGGGGAGGCCAGGGTGCCTGCGTTGCTGTTCCCAGTGAGGGCGTCTCTGCCCTCCATTCACCCTCTCCAGCAGGGGGCGTCCCTCCCGGGGCAGAGCTCATGCCCAGCGCCTGCGCAGGCACCCCAGGCGTCACCGCTCCTGTGTGCTCCTTGGCCTGCAGGCCCCATCCCAGAGCGATCCCAGTGTCCGTCCTAATCCAGGAACGCCTCCCTGTCAGGAGTTCCATCAGCAGAGGGCTGCCCAGTCAAGTCCTCATAGTTCGACGGCTGGGGCTCCAGTCGCCTGAGTCCGGCATCTCATTCCTGGCCCTCAGGGCTCTCCATCCACTGCCACATCCCAGAGGGATCCCGGCGCAGCTTCACCCACCACCCACACAGTCAAGGGGTGCTCTTCGGGCCCCACAGGCCAAGTTGGTTTGGCAGTAGTTCTGGGGTGGAACAGGTGGGCCAGCCGAGAGAAGGGCCTGAGCAAACAGGTGCTTCTGTTGACATAGCACTCCCAACAGGCTCTGGGCCGACCTCATCCCCCACCCCGGCTGCAGTTCCTGCCCTGATGGCCCGGGGCGGGGCGGACACATCCTGGATGTGGCGCTGCCCCTGCCAGGCACAGGTGGGGAGAGTTGTCTGCCAAGGCAGGCACTCAGCTCCCCCTGCAGCCCCGGGTGTGCGCGCGTGCAGGCACGGATGAGGTGGGGACCGCGCCCGGGCAGCTCTGGTCCAATACCGCCCCTCTACCTTCCTCTTGGTGGCCGGCTCTCCCATGTGGACAGCAGGGGTGCTGCCCACTGCTTTCTCAGGTGTGTTAGTAGGGAGCTGGATCAGAAGTGGAACAGCCACGACTCTAATGCAGATACTTAACCTACCGCCCCATTGCGACCCAACTGGACTCTATATGGCTCTTTTATGATCCAAATCAAATTGCTCCAGAAGTTTGTGGGAAAGTGGGGTAAAAAGAAATGAACAGTGTACTGCCAGCACCAGGGCTCAGGGTGCTGAGCCGTTGCTCATGACAGCCAGCATGCCACATGGCACCGGTTCGAGTCCCTGCTGTTCCACTTCTTATCCAGTTCTCTGCTGATGTGCCTGAGAAAACAGCAGAGCATGGGACAGGACCAGTACTGGCACTACAGGCAAGCCCCTACCTTCCACGCCACAGCACCAGTACCAGGCCTCAGTTTTCTATTTTTTTTAAGATTTATTTATTTATTTATTTATATTGCAAAGTCAGAGAGGAGGCGAGACAGAGGAAGATCTTCCATCTGACGATTCACTCCCCAAGTGACCTCAACAGCCGGTGCTGTACCGATCCAAAGCCAGGAGCCAGGAACTTCCTCCAGATCTCCCACGTAGGTGCATAGTCCTAAGGCTTTGGGCCGTCCTCGACTGCTTTCCCAGGCCACAGGCAGGGAGCTGGATGGGAAGTGGAGCTGCTGGGATTAGAACCGGCGCCCATATGGGATCCTGGCGTGTTCAAGGTGAGGACTTTAGCCGTTAGGCTACCGTGCTGGGACCATCAATTTGTTTCCTTTTTTTTTTTTTTAACATCCAAATAGACGCTTCTTGCTCAGGGAAGGGAAGGGAGGGAGGAGTGGACGGGGCGCGGTCCTCCCAGCCAGCTGAGCAGAGTAGCTGGGGCCACTCGGGCAGCATGGCGAACTACACTTCCCGGCAACCCTCATGGTGCGCAGGAACCAGGCCCGAGGCGGAAAGAGCGCATCATTTCCGTCGCGCCTATAGACTACACGTTCTGTAGCGGAGGCACCCAGCTTCCGGGTTTCGTGCGACGGAAGTGATGTAGCTCGGGGCGCCGCGGTCGCGATGGGTCGAGTGCTAGGGGCACCTACGCTCGGGTACGTTGCGGGGCCGGGAGGGCTGTCCACGCGTGTCTCTGTGGGCCGGGAGTGCTGTCCACGCGTGTCTCTGTGGGGCGGGAGGGCTGTCCACGGTGTCTCTGGGCGGGAGGGCTGCCCACGCGTGTCTCTGTGGGCGGGAGGGCTGTCCACGGTGTCTCTGGGCGGGAGTGCTGTCCACGCGTGTCTCTGTGGGGCGGGAGGGCTGTCCACGGTGTCTCTGGGCGGGAGGGCTGCCCACGCGTGTCTCTGTGGACGGGAGTGCTGCCCACGCGGCGCCGGCGCTCACGCGTGTCTCTTGCAGGGCCGTGCGGGCGCTGAGGCTGGCCCGAAGCTTGCACTCGCCGCGCGGCAGCCGGGAGGAGGACGGAGCGGACGGCGGCCGCCCCGTGGCCTTCTCGTCCAGCCGGGCCAGCCCGGCGCAGTGGACGGTGCGGCAGTCCCTGGGCGGGCAGCAGCAGCGGCCCTGGTGGAAGGTGCTGCCCTTCGGCCTGTCCGTGCTCCTGCTGGTCAGCTGGTGCTTCCTGCGGCCCGAGAGCCCCGCCGACCGCTGGCTGAGGCGGCTGCTGGACGGAGAGGGGCCGCCGGGGGACGGCCGCGGGCCGCCGGGCCAATAAACTGGAAGCTGCTCCGGAGGAGTTTGTCCCAGGGGTGCGTGTCGGGGCGGGCCCTCCGGGGCTGTGTCAGGACAGCCCGCAGGACGCTGTCCCAGGCCCGGCCTGAACACCGGTCAGCGCGTCCTTCCACGGGCGGGGCCGGGGCGCAGGCCACTGGGATGGACGCTGACGCCCTGGGAGCTCTGCAGACACGGCCACGCAGGGACAGTGTCCTGAGCGGGAGGGCATGGCGGCGGGCAGCACTGGGCAGCACCCCAGCTGGTCAGCCGTGGCGAGACGCTGCTGTGCCCATGGCCGCTCTGGCCTGTGACCCTGAGGGCCTGGAGCCTCCCTGCACTCAGGAAGAACCCTGGCCACTTCTGGGATGGTCGCCGGGCCCCTCTGCCCCGCATGGCTAGTGTTCAGGTCAGGGCTTGGCTGGGGCTCCCGCAGGGCCGCTCCGCACCGGTCATCCTTATCTCGCCTTCTGTCGCTGTGTCCGGGAGTGGACAGTCTTCCAAGGCTGGTTGGCCGCAGGTCAGCTGTCCACGCAGCTGTCCAGAAGGACAAAAACAGCCCTAAGGCCCAGCGGTGTGCGGGTTGAGGGGCAGCGTGGGCGTTTGGATTTGTACTTAAAAAGGCTGTTTCGGAGAGGTGTGGAGGGCTCGGACAAGTCAGGTCAGCTACAGGTTGGGGCAGCTCCTGCCCTGGGCGTCCCCGCTCTGTCCCTTGACACCGTTACAGCCAGAGCCACAGACAGACTGTTGGACGTGCAGTTCTTGGGTGCTGGAGTCTGGGCTGGGAGAGGACCCCAGGCTCCCCGCTCCCAGCAGCTGCAACTCGGTGATCTGCCAGCGACCGCCTGCCAGCCCGGCGTGGCCCAGTCCTGACCTGTGGAGTTGAGGATCAGGTTGCTGCACAGCGGTCAGCTAGCTGTGGGAGACGGTGTCCCCGAGGGTCTCTCTGGGGTCCTGGCCAGCCAGGCTCTGATCAAGAAGATCCTGGACGAGGACTCCTGGTGGCAAGGTGACCCTCTAGCAGCGGTGGGCAGGCAGCCAGGCAGGGTGAAGCCAGGTCTGACAGAGGTGCCACCCCATGCACCTGCATCCCTCCTCACCCAGGGCTGGCTTCTGTGGGTGGGCACACAGCCCCGCCGCTCCTGGAGCCCTGTCCCTCCTCACCCAGGGCTGGCTTCTGCGGGTGGGCACACAGTCTCGCCACTCCTGGAGCCCTGGCCATGTGAGTAGTTTGTGGTTCCGTTTTTAAATCATGACAAAATATCCAGATCATGAAATCGTTATTATTTTTATTCTTTAAATTTATTTTACTTTTGATGATGATTACATAGTTGAGAAGAATATATGCCCATGTGGACCACCAGTCAGGGTGGGAAGGGTCAAGGGATGGGGCAAGTGGGTAAAACAGTTGCTTCCAATTTCTTTTGTTTCCTGCCTCTGGGGGAGAGGGGAGAGGGCTGCTCCTAGCAGCCTAACGGGGAGGGTGCGACAGCCGCTCAGAGTGTCATCCCAGGGGCCCTGATGTGGAGCCTGTTCAAGCGGACTGCTTAAGTGGCTGTCATAGCTCTGAGATGCTGTTGGTTTCATTGCTCCAAGGTTGAGGAAATCTTTCCAAGGTCCACTGGCTGACCTCGTCCACCTTAGAGCCTCCACTTGTTGTCCAAGCTTGTGCAGGAGAGCTGTCCGATTCGTTGCACCCTCCATGGTTGTAGACGTTCCTCTGCAGGCCTCAGTGACCTGGCTGTCAAGTCCTCTGTGTGCATCTGGCCGTGCCGCACTGCACAGGCCTTGGCTGCCGTGGAGACCCAGGTCTGACATGTTCACTCCACGATCCTCTGATTCTCGCCGAGGTTGGAGTTCCGAGTCCTGTGATCCAGTTGGGGAGGTCCCCAAAGAAACCTTGCCAGAAGTGACCCCAACCTGACTCCTGTGTGTGCCAACCAGTGCACGGTCTGGGTTTGTCTCACCCACAGCAACCCACATACACACTGGTGCTTGCAGTCGTCTCCTATGCAAACCAGTGGATGCTTGTGCCAGGCTGGGTGTCCCCTCAGTTCCCCAACCAGGCCTGCTCCCAGCCGCATATTGTGTGTGCCAAAGGTTGCTCTGACCCAGCTTGGCACAGCGCCGCCCCCCCTCCCCCCGCCTGCTGCAACCTGGCCTGGCCCAGCCTGCCCTGAGTCCCAGTCCCCACTGGTGGGTGCTTCAGCCTAGTCCTGCCCAGCCTGTCCCCTGGCTTTCATGCAAACTGGTAGGTGTGATAGCTTAGCCCAGCACCCACCCTGGCTCCTGTGCATGCCAGTGCGCTATGGTTTGGCCTGGTCCTGCCTTGTTTGCTGCCCCAAGCCTATCTATACACCTGCCAACAACTGGAGCAGCCCTGTCCCCCTGACCAACACCCAGCCCTGACTCACGTGCTTCCAGCAGGAGCTATGGCGTTCCCAGGTTCTCCTACCAGACCCCCTCAGGCATGTCTTCAAGTGCTGTGTCCTCACCTGGCAGTCCGCCCGCCAGTCTCAGCCTCTGTGCGTGCTGCTAGATCTGGCCTGGCCTGGCCCATGCCCAATTCTTGGGTGCTGCAGCCTGGATCAGCCGGGCCTGTTCCCAGCCCCACCACTCGTGTGTTGGTGGGCGCCATGTTCGTGCCGCTTGGCCTATCACCAACCTCAGCTCTCAGGCATACCAGCTGGTTTCCACAGAGCACACATATTCCCTACAGAATCTGCCCCCAAACCCAGTTCTCTAGCGTGCTGGTTAGTGTCATGGCCCAGTGTGATGGGACCTATCCCTGTTCCAACTCTCATTGTCAGGCGTCTGGGTACTTGCGCTAGCCCTGCCAGGCTGGCCCCTAGTCTAGCTCTCACATGCACTGGTGCGTGGTCAATACCAACTGGCCCAGCTCAGGTCTTTCATGTCAGTGGGTGCATTGGTCTGACCCCCAAAGATTCTGCGGTTTCCCTCGTGCAAACCACCTGCTCTCAATTCCTTGCAGGTGCAGCAGCCTACTTGGTGCAAGTCTTCTAGAAGTCACTGCTCACCTGTCCTCCCTCAACGGGGCTCCCTCCCATCACCTTCAAGCGTGCGGTTCTTGCGCCTGGCTCGAGGTGCGGCATGCCAGCTCAGGGCCCTGCCTGCCGTCTCCGCTGGCACACTGGTTAACCCCGATAGGATCAACCAGGCCCAGGACGCCGGGCAACTGCAGGCTGCTTTCCTCCTGGCAGTGAAACACTTGCCTGGTACAAGGCAACCCTTAAAGGTGAGTATTTATTTTTCACTGGAAAGTCAGATTTACAGAGAGAGCGTGAGCCAAAGAATTTCCATGCATTGGTTCACTCAAGTGGCCGCAATAGCCGGAGCCGAGAGCTTCTTCCGGGTCTCCCACGCGGGTGCAGGTCCCAAGGCTTTGGGCCGTCCTCGCCTGCTTTCCCAGGACACAGGCAGGGAGCTGGAAGGGAAGCGGGGCTGCCGGGATAGAACCGGCGCCCATAAGGGATCCCAGCGAGTGCAAGGGGAGGACTCCGGCTGCTAGGCTGCCACCTTAGACTTCATTTTCAGGGAAACTGCAGTTGAGAATAATAACACTGTGCGCGACTGCGCCCCGGGACAGGCGAGAATCGCCCTCTGTTGGAGGCCTGAGAGCTGTTCCCCACATCCGGCCTCTCTCTCCCCACATCCGGCCTCTCTGTGCCCCACGTCCGGCCTCTCTCTCCCTGTGTCCGGGGTCTCTGTGCCCCACTTCCGGGCTCTCCGCCCAGGCCCAGTGATTCGCCCCCCAGTTCCGTCCGGTCCCTGCGAGGCCGAGATGGTGGGCAGCAAGACCCAGCCCGACCCTGTGGGGACGCGTCCCCGGCGGCGGCCGGCTCCCGGGTCCCTGCTGGACACTGGCGCGGGTAGGTGGGCGGCTCGCGGCGGCGCGACCCGGGCGGAGCGTTCTTGGGGAGCCCGGCCGTCCAGCAGGGGGCGTGCCGGGCGGGGCCAGGACAGGCGGTGTGGGTGTGGCCAAGCAGTTTGTGGGTGTGGCCTCGCTGCGGGGCGTGGCCCGGGGGAGGCGCAGTCCCCGCCCGCTCCGAGCGGCCTGGGCAGCCTGGGCAGCGTCTCCTGCCTCGCCCCGGGTAGATCTGGGTGGCAGTGCAGGCCGCCGGCTCCCCTGGACTGTTCCTGTGGCCGAGGCGCGCTGGCCGCTCCCAGGGCGCCCTTTGCTTGGGCCTCGCGTGGACAGGGGGGATTGCGTGCTGGGCGTTGGCTGTGGGGGCACCGTCAGGGCCCCCGTGGTCCCGCGTCTGCAGGGAGGCAGGTGCCTCTGGCCTTGGCCATGGAGGAGGTGCAGGCCCCCCTGGGCTGGCTGCTGGAGCTGGGACACGCTAGAACAGAGGCTGTATGGGGGACAGGAGGCTGTGCGCTGAGGTCCTCGTTGGAGACATGGACCTCCTCTCCTTGGAGAAAGCATGCAGGGGGCGGGTGCCATCCTGGGGTCCCTGCACTTGCCCTCGCCCACCTTCCCACTTAGCTGGCTTTCCCAGCCCCTGCTGGTCCCACTCACCCCCTCTGCCCTGACACCCCCAGGACAGAGATGGACACACTGGGACCCTTGGGTGAGTGACTGCCCAGCCCCTTGCTGCGGCTGTGGGTGCTGGGCCATCTGTGAGGGGACAGGGCTGGAGTAACTGAGACCCAGGTGGCGTCAGTAGGGGAGGACTGCGTTTCCCGGAGCTTCTTCCCCGCCAGTCCTGGGCCTGAGTCCCGCAGCTGGTGGGAGTCCTGGCGGCAGGTGCGGGGGCTGCACTTGGACCCCAGGAAGAACTGGGTTTCCTGGCTGGGATGCAGCCTAGGAGCGTGCCCGCACGGCTAACAGTGACCAGTAACTGGGCTGCCAGACGTGTTGGGCAGCTGCAGGGCACCCCTCCCCTGCCCCAGCTGACTTGGGGTCATGGATGGGGCACGTGCTGGTAGTGTGGGAAAGGGCAAGATGCAGCGTGGGTCTCCTGCACCCCGAGTGTTCCCACTGTAAGGAGCACTCCCCAACCTGGGGTGTGGCTTGGCAGCCCCCCAAATCCACAGGCTGCTAACCCTTAAAGCGCGGCCAGTGACCGCCTGCTGACTCCCACACTCAGGTACATGTGTGGGCGGCCTGTGGGACTGGCCCGAACTGCTGTGTGTGCTCTGGGCTCCTGTGTCCAGAGGGGAGGTCGGCTGCTCCAGGCCTGCTGGGCCTGCTGGTCTCCCCCAAAATGGAGGCAGATGTTGCAGTGTGCCAGTGACACAGGCCTGGACAGGTGGGGCCACCAGCGCGCAGCAGCACGCCGGGTGGAGCCGTGTGGTCATCTGACAGGCGCCCTGTGCTGCCGGCTCAGCGTGCCTGTGTCGGCACCTTGTCCCCGTGGCCACCCGGACTGACCGCGCTGTTGAGGATGGCCAGTCCCGCGGTCCTGCCAGCTCTGCCCTGGTGCCCAGGCTGTGCTCAGGGACCTGGGGGAGGTGAAGGCAGCTGTGCAGTGACCACGAGCTGACCTGTGCCCTGCTGTGATGGCCAGAGCGAGGGCGTGGGGAGCAGACGGCCTCAGTCGCCGGAATGAACCATTGGCACTTGTTTCGATTTTTCGCATTTATGGCGTAGCTCGCAGGCTCCAGGAGCAGTCTTATCAGTGTGGAGAGCAGTTAAAACCCCAAACCTCCACTCCGCTTGCACACTAGACCAGGCCCCTGCTGCCTGGTCACACGCCGTCCCCCGGTGGAGCGGGCAGGCCAGTGGGCCGGGTGTGCGGGATGCCGTGGCGGCTGAGCAGGCCGCTGAGCCTTGCCACCTCTGAGGTCAGTTCTGCGTGGGCCTGCGAGGGTGTGCGGAAGGGGAGGTCAGGCCCCTGGCCAGGGGAGGTGGGGAGCAAGGCCTCCTCCCCACAGCTCCTACCATCCTGCACTGCTCCAGGGTCTCCAGCGCCAGGCTCTGGGGGCGTCCTTCCTGCTGCGCGGGCTGCTCACTCGCTGGAGTGCCCAGGTACCCAGCATCCTCAAATATCACACGCAGCAGCTTGTCGCGGCCCTGCGGAGGAAGAGCGGGCATGTGCCCAAGTCCACAGGAGGGGGAGAAAGGGGCGCCCCTCACTCACCTGGGGCGTGATGAGGCCGTCAGCCAGGTCCTGCTCCACCTTGTCCCAGCGCCGCTGCAGGGCCTCGGGCAGGGCCGGGTACACTGCCCACAGAGCGGGACTTGAGCCTCAGGCCTCAGCCGGGCCCGCCATCCCCACCCCGCACCCCTGCCCTTACCTAGCAGGGCGTGCGGGTGGCAGGCCAGCGGCGTCTCGAAGGTCAGCGCGTACATGCAGGTGCTGGGCTCGGACACGTGGGCCAGCCGATGGCTTTTCCCGCAGGCAAGCTCCACCTGGCGGGGAGCGGGTTGGAGGGCAGTGGACAGACGCCCGCCCGCCCCGCCCGTCCCCGCCCGGCCCGCCCACCTTGCTCTGCCGGCTGCGGCCGCGGCAGGAGTCTCCATCCCGCATCCACATGGCCGCGAACGAGTTGTTGACGATGTCCCACCCGTGCCACACGCTGGGGAGGAGGGCGTGTGAGCGTGCGGGGCGGGGCCTCGGGCGGTGGGGCGGGGCCTTGGGCTTGTGGGCGTGCGGGGCGGGGCCCTGGCCGTGTGAGGTATGTGGGGCGGGGCCCGGGTGCGTGCGGGGGCGGGGCGGTGGGGAGGGGCCCCGGGTGTGTGGGTGTGGGAGGCGGGGCCTCGGACATGTGGGGCGGGGCCCGGGGGCGTGCGGGGCGGGGCCTCGGGCGTGGGCCGCGCCGCCCGCCCCCTGCTCACCCGAGCACCCCGCTGTAGGCGTTCCAGCGGAAGGTCTGTTCGTGCTGCGTCACGTTGTGGAACGGGCAGAGCTCGTACTTGTACCTGGGGGCAGGCCGCTGTCAGGGAGACGCTGCCCCAGCCGCCCACGCCTCCCCGGCCGGGCCGGCACTCACGTGGACTCCACCAGGCTGAAGCACTTGCCGGAGAGCTGGGAGAAGTGCCTGGGCCCTGGGGAGTGGGGGAGGCTGCTGTGAACGAGGTGCAGCCCCATGGGAGCACCCCACCCCAGGCGGCCACACTAAGGGACTGCCTCGTCCAGGCCCAAGGCAGCGGGGAATCCAACTGTGATGTCACGTGGGGGTGCAGCGTGGCACCGTAGGCTTCCCTACTTCCTGTGCTTCGGCCCAGGACCCAGCAGAGTCCCGGCTCCGGGCTCCTGGTGCACGCAGTGGAGGGGTGAGCCAGCTCGTGGAGGATCTCTCCCCCTTCTCGGTAACTGCCTTTCAAGTCTCTTTGCTAAAGGGTTCATGTTTCTTTGAAAGGCAGAGTTCACTTCCCAAGTGGCCACACAGCTGGAGCGGGGCTGGTCAGAAGCCAGGAGCTCCTCCAATCTGCGGCTTCCTGGGCCGCCAGTAGTGCCTGCTACACTGTGGCCCCAGCCCCTCAAACTTGCAAAGCAAGCAGGGATGGGAGACAGCACCTCGGGAAGTCCACACCCAGGAAAACGGCCTCTGAGAAGAGGGTTCAGACAGCCCCGCCGAGCGGGACCGTGCTGGTGCAAAGCGGACCTGCTGTGGGCAGGTCAAAATTGTGTTTGCTGTAAATGCTGCTCTCGCTTCCTTCAAGAAAAATCTCACCCACCCACTACCTCAACTCCGCAAACGCCGGGAAGGGCTAGGTGAAGCCAGCTCGGACCACCGACCGTGTACGCCGCGCCCACAATTATGCTTGAGTCTCATGTCCCACAGTCCTGCCCAACCCACAACAGTTACAGAACATAAGAAAGGGGGTTGGGGAGGGTGAGCTGCTGTGCCCCATTTGGGTGCAGGTTCACGTCCCAGCTGCTCCGCATCCGTCCAGCACCTTGCTAACGGCCTGCCCGGGAAAGCACCGGAGCAGGGGACCCATCCTCGGAGCCCTGCACCCAGGGGAGAGCGAGACAAAGTTTCTGGTAATACACTGGGCCAACTCTGGCTGTGCTGGCCATCTAGGGGCTGGCTCAGTCTCTGTCCTGCCCACCAGGAAGCCCTCCCGGGAATTCCTTCAGAGAGTGCCAGACCTGACAGCCATTCAGACAGGTAGATTTACAGAGAGAAGGCGGCACTTGCGCTGGCTCACTCCCCAGGGGCCACCAAAGCTGGAGTTGAGCTCATCAGGAACCTCCTCCAGGTCTCCCAGGCGGGTGCAGGGCCCAAGGCCTCGGGCCGTCCTCCACTGCTTTCCCGGGCCACTGCGCCACCGGGCCAGGCCCAAAATAAATAAATCTTTAAAAAAAAAAAAAAGAAAGAAAGAAGAAGTAGAGTGGGTCAGTGGAATAGCAGATTAACCCTCCATCTGAACACCAGGTTCCTGTATGGGCACTGGTTCAAATCCCAGCTGCTTCCCTTCCCTTCCAGCTCCCTGCTGATGGCCTGGGCAGGTGGCGAAGGTTGGCTCAGGTTTTTGGGCCCCTGAAATAACTCCTCCTGGCCCTCACTTAGTCCGCACCATTAAAGCCATCTGAGGAGTGAAAAGCCGGGGGTCTTGTCTTTCCTTTCTCTAAAATCCACCTTGCAAATGGGAAAGAAACACATTTCACAAACAGCAGCAGGCAGGAAGCTGAGAAATCCCTAAGAGGAAACTGCCAGATGCCGCCTTAGCAGGCGGGGTGCAGAGGAGGCTGCGCACCCCGGGGTGGGGGTAGGAGGGCTCTCTCCTGGGGCCCACGGGAACCTACACCGTACCGAGCCAGGCCCCAAGCCGCCCCTGTGAGGGAGAGGACAGCGTGGTGCCGCTCTCACTGTGGGAGGAACACCCAGAGCAGGGTGGAGGGCTGACCGGGCGGGCGGGGAGGCTGCCGCGTGGGACTGCCCACCCCGCGCACACTGGTGCCCGGCTCTGCTTCCGCTGACGCCCAAGGGGGATGCTGCTCTCTTCCCCCTTTCACTTGCACTCTGCTTTACAGACGCTGCCAGGGTGCAGGCGGCGCCTCGCACCACCGCGCTGAGCTCTGTGCGAGCTGAACTGGAACGGTTAGCAAGGAAGGTCCAAGTCCAGGGCGTCCGGACGGAGGAGAGCACATACGGCTGACCTCCTGGCTCCTGGCTTTGGATCGGCACAGCACCGGCCGTCGCGTTCATTTGAGAAGTGAGCCATTGGATGGAAAATCTGTCTCTCCTCTCTGTATATCTGACTTTCCAATAAAAATAAATTTTTTTTAAAAAAAATTAAAGATGAAGCAAAAACAACACCACATTATCACCGAAACTGTTGGACATGTGTAGACAATGGGATGCTGGACTGACATTGTATCAACAGCGTCGGGGTGCGTTACACAAGACTGACAGAACCATGGTTCCTTATGGACCACACCACTGTAAGAACGTGGGGAAAATCTGACGGCGGGGGGAATTTGAGGAGGAACCCAGCCTATATGAAATTGTACCACATAATCCAAAATTTAAAACACAGCACTAGGAGCCTGAAGAGTGCAGGGCCCCGGGGGAGCGGGCGATGGCAGGACCCCCGCAGGCCCCTCAAACGCTCAGGCAGGTTGGGGCTGCCGCCCCGAAACGGGGACCATGGGGACCCTGGGGACCCAGCGGGCGCCAGGCCCAGCCCCGCTGGTGGGGACCCAGGTGGGGCTGTTTGGGGAACCAACCAGCAGATGGCGCTTTCCAGCTCCATTTCTCAAATATACGTGAAAGCTTGCCTTCCTCCACCCTCCCTCACGCACTTGGGGATCCCCATGGATCCTCCCGCTGCAGCCGCCCTGCCTGGGGTGAGCACAGGCCAGTCCCCCGAGCGTCTCAAGAACCCTTGCTTTCCCATCGGTTGGCTTCGGGCACTCCCGGGCACCAGGCAGGGGACACAGCGGGCGCACCTGGGATGGAGAGCCCCTAGGAGCTCTCTGACACCCCTCTAAAGGGCGGAAGACCCAGACGCCGCCCCAACAGGCCAGGCTGTCACACAGGCTCTGCCGCCTCCCCGGTTCCACTGGGCAGCAGCAGCAGCGCGGATC